GTTAATTCTTCTCTTATCTCTTATTAATCATCCACTTGTGTTACTGATCCTTCCCTTTTATTCTTTGTTGCTGACCTTTACTAATCAATGTTTCCCCTATGTACCGTTAATTTTAACATTTCCAAGCTTATTATTATTATTATTATTATTATTATATTTATGGGGAAGCGTTAACTCCTTAAGGGTCACACAGCGCCGGGGAAATGGAAAGTAATTAAATGATCCAAACTGCTGGAAGAACAATTAATTGCAAACCATGTAATGAGGGATCCAGAATGATGAATAACAATGCTGGGAAACACCTAATTCAATGTCATAAACCACTAAATGCTAAGAACAATGTGAACGGGCTAAATAAAGTGGTGTACACAAAGTGCGTCGATAAATAAGACGCACGCAAACACCTGGGTGTCTTTATTCCAAAGTCGTTTCGTCAACCAGTGGCTTTATTTATTCAGTACGATTAATGCTGTGACACAGTTGTCAGTTCACTGCATGACTTGTAGGGACCATCGCCACACAAGCTTCTTGCATTGTTTCCTGCTTCGGTCTAACACCAATTTACGTGATACATGAGTGGTATATAATACCGACAAAAGGAAGAATTAGACACATGTGCAACAACTGGGTATCTTAGTTTTCGCCATTCACTGCCAATACTCTTCACCTAATCTTAGGCTGAGGGACGGATTACCTCGTCTTTTTTAGTTTTACTGTCATTGCATTATGTCCTTGAACTGTGGTGATAAAGCCACGTCTACAAAGTAAAGATACCCAGATGTTGCACATGTGTTTAATTCTTCAATATACGTCTTTAATATTTAAGACCTCCCCATTCTGCGGTGTTTCCGGTTCAGTTACCGGTTAATAGTTAATAACAAATAAGATTTGAAACTAGACATCGTTTCAGTCCATCCTGGACCATCATACATGGGTTTTACCAAGTAGTTATTCATAATAACATTATGAGAAATCTTGTTACAAAACATCAGAATCCTAATGACTAGTGTATACATATTTTAACGCTTGACATAATTACATTCACGAGGAAGCGCTAAACATGTACGTGTAGTTGGGGGTTATAGAATGCATGGGGAATTGGAAGCGATCGAGTTTAATTAAATGAGATATCAGTTCCCATACCTTGGATGAAAAGCCTTTCATAAGCATCACTGCTCCTCCTTGAAGGAAGTTCCACCATTCTCGAGTCAGATCCCAAGTTTTTCAGACATACAGAACACACCTCATACTATACGGTGGTACTTTTTTTTTTTTGCGACTAATATTAGGTTTTAATCTGAACGTTTATGTTAAAATTCACGTGAGGATGATTTATTGCAAAATCTTATTCATAATTAATGTCAAATGTAGGATTTTTTTTTATCGCGAGTGACTTGTGACTCAGCTTACACAGTACTCTCTGTAGTTCTACCACCATTACTACCACCACTACTACCACTATCACCACCACTACTACCCTATCACCACCACTACCATTATCACCACCACTCCCACTATATTACACCACTACTACACTATACCACCACCACTACACACCACAACTACCACTATCACCACCACACTACCACTATCACCACCATTACCCACTATCACACCACTAATACCACTATCACCACCACTATACATATCACTCAACTACCATACTACCACCACCACTACTAGTACCACTACCACTACTACCACCACTAAAACGTTACCGTCACGTTGATATTAACACTGAAAATACACTTTAATCAAGTCTCGCTCTCTCACTACATACACTTACACTACACACTATACTACACCTACACTACACTACTACACCACTACTACACTACACTATATTACTACACTATACTACACCTACATACACACATACGACTACACTTTTACTACCACTACTACAACATACTACACTACACTACTTTACACTTACATACACTACACCACACTACTATATATACACAACTATACCTACACTACATACACCACACTACTTACTACACACTTTACTACACACATACACCACACTCACTAACTACACCGCACTTACTATACTACACTACATACACCACACTACACATATACCTACTGACTACACTACATACACCACACTACACTATACTACACCTACACTATACTACTACACTACATACTACACGCTACACTACCTACATTTACTACACTACACGCTACACTACACTAACAGTACTACACTACTACTACACTACACTACATACTACACTACACCTACACTACACAACAGTACTACACTACACGCTACACTACTACAACAACACTACTACACTACACCTACATACACATACATACTACACATACACGTACACTACACGTACTACACTACACGCTACACTACACTACACGCTACTACATACACTACATACTACACTACCTACTCTACACTACAACTACATACACGCTACACTACACATACAGTAACTACACTACACCGCTACACTACACAACAGTACACACACTACAACACTACATACTACACTACACGCTACACTACACAACAGTACTACACTACACGCTACACTACACTACACGCTACACTACACTACAGTACTACACTACACGCTACACTACACTACACGCTACACTACACAACAGTACTACACTACACGCTTACACTACACTACACGCTACACTACACTACAGTACTACTACACTACACATACTACACACATACACTACACGTACTACACTACACTAACAGTACTACACTACACCGCTACACTACACAACAGTACTACACTACACGCATACACTACACATACAGTACTACACCTACACTACACAACAGTACTACACTACACGCTACACTACACAACAGTACTACACTACACGCTACACTACACAACAGTACTACACTACACGCTACACTACACTACACGCTACACTACACTACAGTACTACACTTACACTCTACAGCTACACACACAGTACTACACTACCAACAACATACTACACTACACGCTACACTACACTACAGTACTACACTACACGCTACACTACACTACACGCTACACTACACAACAGTACTACACTACACGCTACACTACACTACACGCTACACTACACTACAGTACTACACTACACGCTACACTACTACACCACAGTACTACACTACCCACCTACAGTACTACACTACACGCTACACTACACTACAGTACTACACTACACGCTACACTACACTACAGTACTACACTACACGCTACACTANCGCACTACAGTACTACCACTACAAACCCGCTACACTACACTACAGTACTACACTACACGCTACACTACACTACAGCTACTACACTACACTACAGTACTACACTACACGCTACACTACACTACAGTACTACACTACACGCTACACTACACTACACGCTACACTACACTACAGTACTACACTACACGCTACACTACACTACAGTACTACACTACACGCTACACTACACTACAGTACTACACTACACGCTACACTACACTACACGCTACACTACACTACAGTACTACACTACACGCTACACTACACTACAGTACTACACTACACGCTACACTACACTACAGTACTACACTACACGCTACACTACACCTACATCTACACTACATAGCTAACACTACACGCTACACTACACTACAGTACTACACTACACGCTACACTACACTACAGTACTACACTAACTACGCTACACTACACGTACACTACACTACAGTACTACAATACACGCTACATCACTACAACTACCCACGCTACACTACACTACAGTACTACACTACACGCTACACTACACTACAGTACTACACTACACGCTACACTACACTACAGTACTACACTACACGCTACACTACACTACACGCTACATTACACTACAGTACTACACTACACGCTACACTAACTACACTACATACTACACTACCACGTACATTACACTACAGTATCACTACACGCTACACTACACTACAGTACTACACTACACGCTACACTACACTACAGTACTACACTACACGCTACACTACACTACAGTACTACACTACACGCTACACTACAACTACAGTACTACACTACACGCTACACTACACTACAGTACTACACTACACGCTACACTACACTACAGTACTACACTAACACGCTACACTACACTACAGTACTACACTACACGCTACACTACACTACAGTACTACACTACACGCTACACTACACTACAGTACTACACTACACGCTACACTACACTACAGTACTACACTACACTACACTACATACAGTACTACAACTACAACGCTACACTACACTACAGTACTACACTACACGCTACACTACACTACAGTACTACACTACACGCTACACTACACTACAGTACTACACTACACGCTACACTACAGTACTACACTACACGCTACACTACACTACAGTACTACACTACACGCTACACTACACTACAGTACTACACTACACGCTACACTACACTACAGTACTACACTACACGCTACACTACACTACAGTACTACACTACACGCTACACTACAGTACTACACTACACGCTACACTACACTACAGTACTACACTACACGCTACACTACACATACAAGTAACTACAGACTACACTACACGCTACACTACACTACAGTACTACATTACACGCTACACTACACTACACGCTACATTACACTACAGTACTACACTACACGCTACACTACACTACAGTACTACACTACACGCTACATACATACAGTACTACACTCACGCTACACTACACTACAGTACTACACACTACAGTACTACATCTACACTACAACTACACTACACGCAAATACAGTACTACACTACACTACAGTACTACACTACACGCTACACTACACTACAGTACTACACTACAGTACTACACTACACTACAGTACTACACTACACAACACTGTTTAATCATTTCATCTCTCGAAATAATGAAAAAAATATAACACCAAACGATAAAGTGGAAATATTTTTATTAGAAGTCACGACAATGTAAACTGGAGATCTTACTAATTTCTCAGTAACATTAAGGATGAAGAGCACTAAGAAGCAGTGAGGCTATCATCACCAGCCCAACATTACTGCTGCAGGAGTTACTGCCACCTCCTTCATCCTCTCCACCGGGAAGTAAGTGATGGCGACCAGCAGGGGTGGCAGTGGCCTCTAGACTTGTGACAGTAATGACTATCGAAGTGCTGGAGGAGATGGACGTATTGTTTGAAGTTGCAGACGAGGTATTAACAGGGTAAGGTATGGTGTTAGAGCCTGCTACAGTGTGAGCTCCTGGTTGAGTGTGAGGTAAGGTGGTGGGTGCAGGGTCGGTGGTGGTGATATAGTCTTCAACATGTGGCTCATCACCAGGTGTGTCAAGAATGGTGACGGGTGGCAGGTAGGTTGTGGGTGAAAGGAAGGTTGTGGGTGACAAGGAAGTTGTGGGTGGCAATGAGGCTGGGAGTGGAAGGAAGGTTGTAGGTGGCAGGTAAGTTGTGGGCGGAAATGTTATGAGAAACAGGGAAGGTACAGTAGGCAGAGAGGTAATGGGTGGGTGGGAGGTTGTGGGTGGCAGGGAGGATGTGAGTGGTGGGGAAGTTTGGGGTGGCAAGGAGGTTGTGAGTGACGGGGAGGTTGTGGGTGGCAGGGAGGTTGTGGGTGGCAGAGAGGTTGTAGGTGGCGGGAAGTTGTGGGTGGTAGTGAGGTTGTGGGTGGCAGGGAGGTTGTGGGTGGCGGGGAGGTTGTGGGAGGCAGGGAGGTTGTGGGTGGCGGGGAGGTTGTGAGTGGCAAGGAGGTTGTGGGTGGTGGGGAAGTTGTGCGAGGCAGGAAGGTTGTGGGTGGCGGGGAGGTTGTGGGAGGCAGGGAGGTTGTGGGTGGTGGGGAAGCTGTGAGAGGCAGGAAGGTTGTGGGTGGCGGGGAGGTTGTGGGTGGCGGGGAGGTTGCGGGTTGCAGGGAGGTTGTGGGTGGCAGGGAGATTGTGGGTGGCAGGGAAGCTGTTGGTGGCAGAGAGGTTGTGGGTGGCGGGGAGGTTGTGGGTGGTGAGGAGGTTGTGGGGTGGTGGGGAGGTTGTGAGTGGCAGGGAGGTTGTGGGTGGTGGGGAGGTTGTGAGTGGCAGGGAGGTTGTGGGTGGCAGGGAGGTTGTGGGTGGCGAGGAGGTTGTGGGTGGCGGGGAGGTTGTGGGTGGCAGGGAGGCTGTGGGTGGCAGGGAAGTTGTTGGTGGCAGGGAGGTTGTGGGTGGTGGGGAAGTTGAGGGTGGCGGAGAGGTTGTGGGTGGCAGGGAGGTTGTAGGTGGTGGGGAAGTTGTGAGAGGCAGGAAGGTTGTGGGTGGCTGGGAAGTTGGGAGTGGCAGGGAGGTTGTGGGCGGCAGGGACGTTGTGAGTGGCAGGGAGGTTGTGGGTGGCGGGGAGGTTGTGGGTGGCAGGGAGGTTGTGGGTGGCAGGGAGGTTGTGAGTGGCAGGGACGTTGTGAGTGGCAGGGAGGTTGTGGGTGGCGGGGAGGTAGTGGGTGGCAGGGATGTTGTTGGTGGCAGGGAGGATGTAGGTGGCAGGGAGGATGTAGGTGGCAGGGAGGTTGTGGGCGGCAGTGAGGCTGTAGATGACGGAGAGGTTGTGGGTGGTAAGGAGTTTGTGGATGTCAGAGAAGTTGTGGGTGGCAGGAAGGGCGTGGGCGGTAGGGAGGGGCAGACTGTGGACAGCAGGGAGGGCGTGATAGTAACGTCAGCACAAGCACGGTAGTCAGCTCTCTCTGGTCTTCCCAGCTTCACGTACCTCCACTGACAGAATAAAAACAACGGAGTTAATGAATAAGACATATGTGTAACACCTGGGTATGGTGTTCCTGGGTACAATACCAACAAGTTGATGAATAAGACATATGTGTAACACCTGGGTATGGTGTTCCTGGGTACAATACCAACAAGTTGATGAATAAGACATATGTATATTACCTGGGTCTTATTCATCAACTTGTCGTAATATGGGGGTAATATAACACACAGTGAAATCTCTAGGTTAATCTTCATTGAAAGTAACACAAAGGTAAAAAAAAAAACATAATGTATGAAATTCTGTTTATAATAAATGGTCCCAATGACATGCTTCCTTGCCTTTATAAAGACCAATTATATATAAAAAAGGAGGCCTCTTAACTCGGGGTGTGGGACAATACTTCCCTTTAGAAACACGCTTCTGCTCTGAGTTTCTTAACAGTCGAGCCTCGAAGAATTAGTCATAATAATATATACGAGCCTGGACCATGGCCGGGCTCCTAGAGTAGTAAGACTCTCGACTCTGGAATACTTCATAAATAAAAATTCACAAATAAAAACCCATATTTCAGTGAAGAAACTTATGACGAGTTTTTGGTTCATCTTGAACCATTGTAAAGTCACGAATGATGCCACGAAATTAACTCATTCCTCATTTTCAGCTTGGCAGATTATTAACGTACTTTCTGGAATGCAAAAATCGTGAACAAGCGATACAAGATGCAAAACAACCACGGGGAGAGTTGAATGATAGCACTAGGCCTTTTATGTTGCAATCAACACATCATCAGAAACTTGCAATGTTGCAGAAATGAGTAGAACGTCCAGATAGATCCGTTCAAGGGTACGAGTCTAGCTAGAGTTCTAGCAAATTCTTGATTATGTGTTGATTGCCACAAGAAAGGCCTAGAGATGTCATTCAACTTCCCCCCCCCGTGGTTGTTTTGCATACTTTTTAAAACTGAACTAAACACAGAGACAGAAGGCTAATTTTTCCCCTATCTTAAACTGTTTGTGAATTACATATACATATTAATGATGCAGTTAAATATTGGGAAATATTAGTAAAATACAATAAATATATGAGTTCATATATAGTGTTGATAGTGGCAAGATATAAACATCACAGGTGTTACTTAAGCAAAACAGGTATAACAATGGAAAAAACATAATGCGGAATTTCATAAATTTTGGACAATTTTAAGAAAAATATACAAAATTGGAGTTATGGTAGAGTGTGTTTGAGATAAACAATAAATGAGCTAAAGTAAATGAAATAAAAAAATATGTACTGGAAAAGTTCTAAAAATTTGGAAACAATTTTGAAGAAACACAAAATAGAAAAGCACATCTAGATATACATGTGTAAATACCTAAAATACGTATTTTAAAAAAAATATAAAGGACGAGGAAATAATTTTAAGAAAAATATATCAAAGGAGAAGACCTGAGTCCCAAAAATAAATGCATTGGAAAATTTATATAAAACTGAGAGAAAACATTTGAGTTTTTTGTTGTACAATAAAACAATGAACATTTAAGAAACTGTGAAGGAAAATTTTTTAACAGCCACTGATTGAGAGTGTGAAAACTGTAGGTCAGGGGGAGGAGGGGCAAGGATGTGTACGGGAGTGACCAACACTTTATCAACTAGCATCAAGGTGCGTGAAACTTGCAGAAATCTGGCACAAATTAAACCGGTGATTGTGAACATCACTGGTGATGTTAGAGACCACTGGTGGTAGCAGAGACCACTGGTGGTAGCAGAGACCACTGGTGGTAGCAGAGACCACTGGTGGTAGCAGAGACCACTGGTGGTAGCAGAGACCACTGGTGGTGCCAGAGACCACTGGTGGTACCAGAGACCACTGGTGGCACCAGAGACCACTGGTGGTACCAGAGACCACTGGTGGTACCAGAGACCACTGGTGGTACCAGAGACCACTGGTGGTACCAGAGACCACTGGTGGTACCAGAGACCACTGGTGGTACCAGAGACCACTGGTGGTACCAGAGACCACTGGTGGTACCAGAGAACACTGGTGGTGCCAGAGACCACTGGTGGTACCAGAGACCACTGGTGGCACCAGAGACCACTGGTGGTACCAGAGACCACTGGTGGTACCAGAGACCACTGGTGGTACCAGAGACCACTGGTGGTACCAGAGACCACTGGTGGTACCAGAGACCACTGGTGGTACCAGAGACCACTGGTGGCACCAGAGACCACTGGTGGTACCAGAGACCACTGGTGGTACCAGAGAACACTGGTGGTCCAAAGACACTGGTGGTACCAGAGACCACGGGTGGTACCAGAGACCACTGGTGGTACCAGAGAACACTGGTGGTGCCAAAGACCACTGGTGGTACCAGAGACCACGGGTGGTACCAGAGACCACGGGTGGTGCCAAAGACCACTGGTGGTACCAGAGACCACAGGTGGTACCAGAGACCATTGGTGGTACCAGAGACCACTGGTGATACCAGAGAACACTGGTGATACCAGAGAACACTGGTGATACCAGAGAACACTGGTGATATCAGAGAACACTGGTAATACCAAAGAACACTGGTGATACCAGAAAACACAGGTAGTTCCAGAGAACACTGACAATGATAAGTCATAGCGAAGATTTTATTTGTTCAGGCAGAAGACCTACCTGGATGACACAAGCTTGACATGAAAGATCTGCAGGCAAGGTGATTGTGTGTGTGACACGACCTAATTTCTTGGTCACGTTGACGGGGAACTGAGCGTTGCCACTGTCGTCCTGGGGAAGAGAAAGAGCAGTGATAGAGCCAGCCTCTACTCTACATGCAAGAACCAGAGCGTTTTGTTCAAAATATATTAGGTACGAAGACGCATTCTGCAATTGCAAGTTATTGTCCTTTATCAAGGTCTCTGGTCAACGGGGTTCATATTCAACCAAGCAACTGTTCAACAAGGTCACGGGAACATTATTAAGTTACAATCTGCAAACTGACAAATGTCTAGTAATGGCCGTAACGTTGTCTAAAGTTTCGTCTCTTAAATATGAATATTTCTGAGAGTAAAATATAATAATGATATTATTATTATTATTATTTTATTATTATTATTATCATCATTATCATTATTAAGAGGTTATTTTTCGTACAATAATTCCTCTTCATATGACAAATCCTAATAATTACAGGTATTATTTTCTGTTAGAGAGCTGCAGAACTAAAGACGAGGGTTCAGAGAGCTCTGAAATGAGCTCCACGTATTCCTTGATAAACATATCAGTGAGCTCTACGTGTTTCTACATAAACAGACCAGCAAGTTCTATGTGCTCCTTGATAAAAACACCAGTCAAATGATGCCTAACTGTCAGCACGGCCTGATTATTAAAAGAGAGACGCCGGCCACCAAGATAATAAATACATACTTTGCAGTATGCTTACCCGGTACCTGTATCTCTTATATACAAAGAATCCTTATGGCAGAACTACACCAGTTCATGGCAGAAACGCTGCTTCGCTAATTTAGACCCTAATACGTAAACATTTACAGCTGCATACAGCAAAATACATTCCATCACCACAAAGAGACATCTGAAAGCGATTGCATAATTTTTTCCTCTTCCCTGGTTTCTAACTTGAGAATGCCTGATCCGATCGGCTTCAAATTTTCAGCTATAACTAGTTAGGCTCATGCAACTGTTGGTATGTGCATGGAGCCTTATGGTCAATTTTATATAGAGAGCATTCCTTTTTTTCTGGGAATTAGTGTTTTAACTTGAGAAAGCTACTCTGATCATCTTCAAACTTTCGACACTGGTGTATTCCACATTAGAAAAAAAGGCTGGGATTGTTATTACTGTATGACCTGTAAGTTGTGATCTGGTGACTAGCCTGTAAGTTGTGATCACACCTGTAAGTTGTGATCTGGTGACTGACCTCTAAGGTTTAATCTGGTGACTCACCTATAAGGTTTAATCAGATGACTGACTTCTAAGGTGTAATATGGTGACTTATCTGCAGTGTGACCTGGCGACTGACCTGGAGGGTGTGTGTGAAACAGGCCGGCTCCTCGACCACCCAGACAGAGTCCCGGGGACACACACGGTACTCCATCCATCCGCTACCTTCCCTCGTCAGCTCAGACACAAACTCCACCTCCTGCAAGCCAGCTAATCCAGGTTATGCTTCAAAATACTTAATAATCAGGTACGCAATTGCATACTGTCAACATCAAACAGAAGAGAAGCAAACAGACGGGAATTCTCAAGTCTGTGGTAGTTTGTGGTGGGAGGAGGGAGTGACATACCTGTTCCTGTGTGGTGGAGTGAGCAGGGGAAAAGGGGTTTGGCGTACCTGTCCCTGTGAGTAGGTCCTGACGATGGTACCTCGGGCGTACCTGCCACGGGTCTCGTGTGGTCGTGGGCGAGGCAGGTCCCAGGGGTCTCCACACACCCCACACTGACCCAGGTTCTTTCTCCAGTGTTTCTTGAACCCTCCACAGTCTACGCGATCATCGCTGACGGAGGCGATATGAAATGAAAAGGGTAATTAAAAAATCGTTACATGATTCTCTATCGAGAATTAAGTTTGTAAAAATGAGGAGTTTTGATATTTGAAGAAGGTTTGGCCTGGCAGTTCACTCAACGCTACTGACAACAAAAATAAATGCAAAATGTACTACCGAGGAAAGCGCCTTAACAATTATTTGTCAACATTAATAACAGGTACCACCAATACCAGTTTTGGCTGATGCCAAAACAATCAATACCATCTGTCACTACCGTAACTTAGCTTATAATACTTAGATCATGCGCATTACTTAAATTAAAGGTCATCAGTTGTTGTTCAAACCACATCTATAATTCTCTAAGTCAGAGAATAAGTCAAACCAAGTAGGCGGCGGCTGTACCGGTGGTTGTGAGTGGCAGCGGTGTTAGCGTCAGTGTCAAGGCAAGCGGTAGCGGCGGGATCAGCAGCGCCAGCATCCGCTGTTGCCGCACTAACAGCATCAGAAGTAGCAGTGATGGCCTAAGTTCATGTATTGTAGTCTGAAGCATTCCATAATACGGTCTAGGTCAGAGACCATAGTATCACTAGGCATAAGCGTAGGAATCGGTTGCGTTAGCAGCAGCGAAGCAGTCAGCGAGGAGACGTCAGCAGCAGGGGTGTTAGTGATAGCATGAGCACCAATGTTGTCAAGTGGTACCATCAATGACGACAGCAGTAGTCAATGCATCGCATTGCAAACTCTAGTCATAATCCACTGTACACACATGATAAACCACAGTAAATTTTCACAAAATTCAAAAAATCTCTTCTTCATTTAAGACAAAAAATTGATTTTTGTGTTCTTCATCAGGCACTAGGCTGCTGAACACCACAATAACATAGTCCACTGTTTGATAAATTACCGTACAGAAACTGAATGACAAAAATAAGAGTTAATCACTAAGGGTAACTCTTCCTGGGACTGGCATGTAACAAAACAGCGCTATTTTCATTACCCACCCGGGTATATCTGTTAAATATATTTATTCAGTGTTTTCCATTTCCCTGTGTAAAACTTAATTCAGATATTGTTTTCACTGGTAATTTGCCTCTTTGTCCATGTTGTTTTGGATACTGTTTGAACAATTATATTGTGACACTTGTGACCGTGTGTATATGTATCATTATGCTGCTTTTATGCCCACTAGCTGATACAGGCTTTTCACTGTGTGTTTTTTTTTTATGTGAGTGTGCACTGTGAAATTTTAGTATGCCAAGAGCTGTGAATCGATCCCTGCAACTACATACAGGTGAATACACACACACACACACACACACACACACACACACACACACACAACACACACACACACACACACACACACACACACACACACACACACACACACACTAACTAGGTGAGTACACACACACACGCACACACAGGAGTGTAAGTCGACCCCTACAACCCAATATAGGTGAGTACACACATACACATTTGGTTGAATGACTGCAAATACTGAACCATAAAATTTGTGCTTTATGAGAGAATGTCAGGTGTTGGGCCAGAGTAAAGAGAGGACTGGGAAGACTGTATATTCTCAAACTGTAGAAAGATCTTTCACATGATACCCAACTAGAGATTAATCAGTAATCTGGAAGGAAGTAAGTGGTATATAGTGCAGAGTAGTTACTGAAGCAGAGAATAGTCTAGATACGATTAAAGCTAAATTAAGACGAAGAGGAAACTGGAATCTGCTTAAGAATCCGCCAAGAAATATGAGGCATTTTTTTTAAGTTGTATCTAATAACCTTCCATGGTCTTCGTAAATCAATGAGGTAACCAGGGAATTTAACACCTTAGCAATTATTATTATTATTATTATTATTATTATTATTATTACTACTACTACATTCATAGGGGAACACTAAACCCGTATGGGTCATACAGCGCCTGAGGTATGCGAGTAATTCAGTTTCAGTTTAAGGAAGCATACGTCTAATTCCTCGGATCAAGAGCCACTTGCTGGCATCAAGGAACTTCACTGGAGGGGAACACTTCGACACGCTCAGGGAAGAACCATACAGGAACAGCAAGGAATGAAGAATGCCAGCGCTTGTTACGCTACTCGTTTTTCAAACCTAGAATTTAAAGCCATGTGCCGTTGACCAACCAGAAGTAGTAAACAATGTCTAGTAAAAGGGTGATCAATACCTGGTTGTGCCAGTATAAACAACTGTGAAATAATCCACATACAAGGACAAGCAAATTCCACGAAGGAAAACGGAATCCATTTAACAGCGCTAACATTTTCTTAACCGCTGAGTACGTGTCCCTGTGGTACTCCGTCTTAATCAAGTTCGGGAAAAGGTTATTGATCCAAACACAAAAGTGTGCCATATATGTCTCCATTTAAACTGATAGTGGACCTCGTAGATCAAAAAAAATAGGCTTGATATATGATATCTCCAGGTAATGTCATCAGTTTTCTTTATCTCTAAAAAAGATAATCTATGACATATCTGCAATCAGAAAAGGCATTAATAATATATGCCTGGACGAAGGGATTTATGGTTGTAAGGTTCTCCTATAGCTAAACTGATGGTAGAGCAGATCATTCCGAGCCTCTAAATACCACTTTTTATGTGACCCAGACCTTCCAGCAATTTTACAAATGGAGCTGGTAAAAACGATAGGTCTATAATGAGGTGGATCGTGCCCCAATGATCAATAAAGTCTGGATCCGGCGGCAATGGGAGAGATGTTTAGGAGGCACTTAGGCTGAGACGACTGGGAAACAGCTGATGTGCAAAGTGCTGCATCCAGAAGTGAAGGGAGCTGTGAGGAGGTCTCAAAAACAATAGTTGAGACGGGGGTATTGGAGGAAGTAGATTAGACCTGCTTAATGTCTGCAGTAAAGTCTGGCGTTAGGGGAAACTCTCAGGAGCTTTACTGCGCTTGAGAATACGAGATCTTGGATAAAAATCTATGGAGGTATCTGAATCTATGGGGAAATCATTGATAAAGCCTCCATAAGAAAAGGAAACGATGACGAGAGGAGTGAAATGGGATTATGAGTACTTCGAAGACCAGGAACATTCACGGAGGATTAGTTGTTTGGTAACAGAGGTAGAGGACTGGGCAGCAGAGGGAGGATGAGGGAAGGTATTGGAATTGAAACTAGCGGCGAAAGAATGGTCTCCAGGAGTCCTCTTCGAATAGATTATGCATGTGACAATAAATCTCTTTCAACATTATCCAAATTAGTTGGGCCACTTATTCTTCCTTACGTATCTCTTCCTGTATACTCACATTCACTTTCAGTGCTCCATCCAACCCCAGTCCCTTTTGCCTCCACCATCTGGTACAAATGAAACAATGAGGTTTGCACTATTTGCAGAATGGGTCGGTCCTCCACAGGTGAGGCATGGGATTTTGGTGTCTGCTGGAATCGCCAGTATATGTATGTTATGATAAAAAATGTGTCTGATGTGTTTCCATCAGATGTGTCTGATGGAAACGCCAGCATATGTATGCTACGGTAAGACTGATACCTACTTGTGTCTGAAAGAGATAAATAACATGGAAACAAACCGATATAAACACATTCGAGAAAGCGCTAATCCCGTAGGGGCAATAGAGTGTCTGGGGAATTCGAGGTAATCAGATTTGAATCAAGTTTGATCGAAGGAAGAGGATGTTATATCCCATGGTTTTTCACCAGCGTCAAGGTACCTCTTCCCCTCACTATTAAGTCATCATAAATATTTTTTTCTATATCTACAACTGCTATATGCAATATCAAAAATTATTTCTTATATGTACTATAAAACTAATATATGGTTTACATCCGAAAGAACCTAAGTCTGATTCCAGGGCGGGTCGCAGTCTATAGACAAATCACCTTACATGTCACCCATATTGATCTAGCAGTATAAAGGTACACAGGGGCTACGGTCTGTTGCTGCAAGTCGCATCCTGGGAAGGGAAAAGGTAAACCTTAATATACCATACTACTTTGTTTTGTTTTGGTTAGCTTCCAGCGTAGGTCAATAATAAAATTATATGTTTATCAAACATAACACCCTTTATCTACACAGTATTAAAGGTGGTGACGTGTGGTCCCATGGTGTAATGGTTAGCACTTTGGACTCTGAATCCAACAATCCGAGTTCGAGTCTCGGTGGGACCTGGAATTGTATTTATACATTTTGAATGAAAACTAAGCTTCACCTAACACCATGAAAACCTACGGGATCGACAACTTTTCAGACATGTCACGCCATGTAAATATTTAATATACGCATCAATATAAACCAGCGCTGTACGACCCAAACCGGTTTAATGATTATTTTTAAATAAATACGAATAATCAACATCATAGAAAGCAAACCCTGACCACCCATCTACTGGTTGGTTTATTGGCTTTGAAGTCTATGATTGCACGAGTCATTATGGCTACATTAAACCTGTACACCACCAGGCAGGAATATTTTAATCCCAGAAATAGAAAATAAGCTCTTAGTGTATATAAGTAGATATACCTCTCAGTGTATATAAATAGATACACTTCTCAGTGTATATAAACAGAGATACACCTCTCAGTGTATATAAACAGATACACCTCTCAGTGTATATAAATATACACCTCTCAGTGTATATAAACAGAGATACACCTCTCAGTGTATATAGAGATACACCTCTCAGTGTATATAAACAGATACACCTCTCAGTGTATATAAAGATACACCTCTCAGTGTATATAAACAGACATACACTTGTCAATGTATATATCCTTAAAAACAAGATAACACATTAAATCATGCCAAGTCATCACGCCAACAGCTTATCAGGTATTATAATAATTACGATAGTGTGATTTAAGAAAGGTATCCACCGTATCTTACCAGCCCAGCTCTCTTCTCAATACACGTACAAGAAACAGTACAGAGCGGAGATACAATTATAATGCAGCAAAATATAAAAATATGTATGCATGTGCATATGTGTACTTTTGTATATGCGTG